AGACAATTCTTTGGAATTGGCTTCTTTCATGAGACCACTGTGAAGAATGACCACAGGGTGTCCAGTTGTCACAGAATAGCAATAAACTGATTAGTAAAGAAAGCAAATGAAAGCCTTTTAAACATATAGCCATGCAGAAGATGCAGGGGTAGGCTGCTGGGGGTTTGCACAGGTTCAGGCGATCCTCTAGCTAGGATTCTGCCTAATTCAGCGAATCCCCAATTGCGACCCTTGGCTGGCCACGCCCACCCCTCCTTTACCAGGAGTCTCCATGCGGCCCGTTCATCGTGCCAGGTAAGTGCAGGGCCCGCATGGAGGTTCAGGGAGGGGGCAAAAGGGGCCTACCAGGGGCAAGCAGTTTTTGCCCTCCCAGAGGCTCAAGAAAAGCCTCCAGAGCCTGGGGAGGGCAAAAATGCCCCCCCCCGTGGTGCAGGTGGCCAACTAGGCCACGCCCACTATGGCCACACCCACCCAGCAACAGGGCAGCGAACTCATTGCTGCAATTTTTGAAGTCCACCCCTGAGAAGATGCCACAGCTGTTAAGTGAACCACTGCAGTTGTTAAGTAAATCATGTGACTGTTAAGTGAATCTCACTTTCCCACTGACTTTGTTTCTTGTAAGTTAGCTGGGAAGTTCACAAATGGGGATCACATGACATGGGACACTAAAGCCACTGTAATATATATCAGTTGCAAAGTGCCCAAATTCTGATCTTGTGACCATAGAGATGCTGCAATTGTTTTAAGTGCGAGGACTGGTCGTAATTCCTTTTTGTAAATTTTGACTGATCGCTGAAGGACTACCGGTATTCATCACATAGTCTATCAACAGAAAGGCAGAAGGTAGGAAATCTAATTTTGTTCTCTTTAATCTACTTACCGAAATATAGGAGTATGGCCCGGCTTTGGTTTATTCCAGGTAAAATGTGAAGGGACAGAAAGGAATTGGTCACCAGGCAAATCTTTTTTTAACATATGATGGGATACGGAGCTATCGTCTATCGCCGTTTCAAGGGATGGAGATAAATTGCCCGGGTCGTCAGAACAAAGCTCGGCTGTCCCAGCAATAATTGTAGTCTGATCCTCGGAGGTCTTCCTGGTCTTAAGAGGTATGTCAGTATCTCCGCAACACTGGAAAGACGCAAGGCCGGGACCGAGACCATGGAGGGAAGAATTCAACCAGGTGTCTTCCGTGATACTCCCCCTAGGAGAATGTCCGGGTGATGGAGAGGGAGAATGATGAGGAGAAAGGGAGCCGAGGTAACAGATTTCAGCACTCGAATGTCGGCGCTTCCCACAGGGCGATGTAGGCCTGGATGAGGGCCTGGAGGTTGGTCTTGGGCTAAGCCAATTCTCGTCCGTGATGCTAGTCCTAGGAGAGTGACAAGGGGATTGTCTCGGTGACAAGGCATGCCCGAACCCATACGGTTGTTGCCAAGGGTCGTCAACTGGGCAGCCTCTTGGAGAACCTCCAGGAGATGCCAAAGGGGACCCAAGGGTAAAGCGAGCGGCAGCTTCATTCAGTTCCGAATCCACGTCATCGTAAATATGAGAGACTGACTCACAAGAGGAAGCATCTGAGAACCAGCTCCGAGAGGAAATGCTGCTGGCAGGACTTGGGCTAAGGGATGAGTCTCGGTAAGATGGCTCAAGAGGAAGGTACAAGTGGTCCCTTGAAGGCCTTTCCAGATATTCATTTTGAGTGCCGTTGGTGTGCAATTCATTCTCGCTGGCTTCTATTCCATGATGACAGTTTGGAGAGATGGATGTAATCTGAATACTAGGACATTCAAAAGGCTTAGGCCCACCAAGTGGACTGTACTTAGAATCGGGTATTTCACAGGTTCCTTCGTAGCTTTTGTGACCCTGCAATTTAGCAGGCGAAGACAAAGGAGAAGGGTGTGTTTGAAATCCATGACACGGGATACAAATAGGATGATTTACGGATGAAGAGTGGTCGACGCTGAAAATGCACAAAGATCCGCAGTCATCAGGTTCGAGATCTGGAAAAAGATAAGGAAAACAAGAGGGAGATTAAAATATTGGGTTATAAGAATCTCACTCTTGTAAGACATTTGGATCTTGGAACGCTTCTACTTATTGCATTGTGAGACAGCGCAATTATGGTTTCAAAACATTTGTAGGCCACTTTTCTATAAAAGGTCTGGAGTTTGCAATAGTGTTCAAAATATTAAAATAGCAGTCGTACGTACAAAATTGAGATATAGCAAAGATGCTTAAAAAAAAATCCAGGAACAAGCAAAGTAATATCACTATAAAAACCATCTGGTTTTATGGGCTGTGAGCTCACTTGGCATGAAGACTAAACCTGACAGTGGCATGGGTCAAGCTGCAAAATCCTTCACAAAGGCCATCTCTGAAATCTAACTACTAGTACAGTAATTCAACAGCACTTTTTCATGCGGCTGTTGATAAAAATAGGATCACCAATGTCCAATGACGGATACGACACAAGAAGCAGTACAGTAACTACAGATAGTCTTCAACTCACAGTCACAATTGAGACTAGAACTGCTATTGCTAAGCAAGATGCTTGTTTAAGTGACTCACAACTGAGTTTACAACCCTTTTTTTGCCATGGTTGTTAAGTGAAACATGGTAGTTAAGTGAATCCAGCTTCCCCCAGTGACGTTGCCTGTCGAAAGCAGCTAGGAAGGTCAAAAATAGTGTTCACGTGACTTCAGGATACTGCAATCATCATAAATATGTCAGTTGCCAAGCGTCCAAATTTTGATCCCATGAGTGTGGGGACGCTCTGAGGATGGTAAGTGCGAGAGGACTGGTTGTAAGTCACTTTTTTCAGTGCGTGCTGTAACTTCAAATGATTGCTAAATGGATGGTTGCAAGTCAAGGACAACCAGGATCTGCATTAATCCAGCATTAATCCAGCATCAAAATAATATCAAGGTTTTTTCATTTATATTGTGTGGTTAATCAGATACCCAGATGTGAGGTTATGCTAATTCAGCTTGAGACACAAAACAGCTGTGATAACAAAGGAGACAGATCCATGTCCTCCATTTTACACATACACAACTGTATTACTGATTATGCATGTAAATTTGCATGTATTATTAAACTTCTATGCCACTCATCTCGCTGAGGTGACTTTATCATTTAATAAAGGTAAAACTAGAAGTAAAAATACTCTGATCCTAACCAAATTCCTAAATCATTGTGATGTGAACTTTTTTTTAAAAAAAAGTTATTGCTGTATATTAAGTTTATATTTAAAACCTTTCCACTAAATTCAGTATTTGAGGGGAAAGCAAATTACACTGGGTAAAAGGACATAGGCAATGGCTTCTGACCATGATTCATAGGCCACTCAAAAGTTCATAGATAGTCAAGTGTTTTGTTTTATTCTTAGCTTATCACCACTTATCTGGCTATAGCTGGTGAGTCTTAGATTTTTAAGAAAAGATCAAGATAATCCTATAAGAATACAATAACTGGATAACTTGCAAATACATTTTGATAAAGCGGCCAAGTTCTATGCAGTCACCACCACAATAGCCATTGGTTAAAAAGCACCACAGAATGGAAATATTGCATTAGGCTGTACACACAACGTATTCTTTAGAATGAATGTGTTACTTCAGTTACAAAGATGCTAACAAAATAGATACATTTTGTTTTCTATACTCTCATTGAAGATGTTACTGGAGAAATGAAACACTTCTGCTTATTTGCGGCATACTTTGCAAAGTGAGAGGCAGGAAGGTTGTTGAATGAAATAACTAAATCTTTAGAACCTGCTCGGGAATTTAGACATGAGCTCTTCTCATCTGAAGCTCAGTTCTCTTTCCCAGCAAGCTGATTTTCAAAAGGATTCTCAGTTTTTTACATCAAATTTCCATAAAGCCATGGTTATCTTGAGTAATCTTGTCATGTGAGAGAGTTTGATAAACATCAAACCGCTGTTCTTGCAGTCTACGCCACTTTTCATGTATTAAGTCCTTTATCAAGATCAATTCACATATTTATGCCTATCAGCAACCTCAATATCAAATATGCCAACCGTCTTTCTCTGTTGCTCTAGTTTTTGCTCACCAGTATTTATGCAACCATTTTTTTCTCTATTAATTTTTTTTCTCAAAAAATGGAATTGGGAGAAAGAGTGAAATAGCCAACTATTTCAAAGGTATCAATTATTCATTGGTATAAGCAAATCCACCTCACATGATTGTTATTGTGGAGAAAACGGAAGGAGAAAGATGTGTTGGATATGTTCGCCACCTTGACTTATTTCTAAAAATAATACAGGCAGGATAAAAATCAATAAAAATAAACTTATTTACTTAATGTGTATGTCATCTATTCAGTGGTAGGATTCATTTTTTTTTACTACCGGATCTATGGGTGGGGCTTGGTGGACGTGACATGGCTTGGTGGGCATGGCAGGAGAAGGATACTGCAAAATCCCCATTCCCTCCCGATCAGCTGGGACTCAGGAGGCAGAGAATAGATGGGGACGGGGCCAGCCAGAGGTGGTGTTTACCGGTTCTCTTAACTACTCAAAATTTCCACTGTCGGTTCTCCAGAACTGGTAAGAACCTACCGAATACCACCTCTACATCTATTTCCTCAGGTTCTAGGTAGCTAAACATCAAAATCATTACACAAAAGAATAGCTGTAAAAAATAATGATACCACCCCCATATAAACAAAAATATCAGCATTAAAAGTTGGAAATACAAAGTCATGTGCTTGCTACACTCCAGTCTTCAGTCACAATATATTTTCTTCCTATGCTTGATGGAGAGTGACTGACCCAAAGTCACTGAGCTGACTTATATAGCTAAGGCTGGACTTGAACTCACAATCTCCTACTTTCTAGCCACGTACCTTAACCACTAGAACAAACTGGCTCATTTAACTTAATAAACTTTTAACAGCAACTCCTTATTCTGTTGGTACAGGAGAAAGCCATTCAGCCTTTGGAGAGAATCATTCAAACCAAAGACGTTTTCAGTTTCTTGTACTGGTTTGGCTGAAAATATCTATTCTCCATTTAATAAACAATCTTGTTTTATCAATAAAATGTTTTAAGACAAAAGAGTTTAAATTCATCAATCTTCATCCTTCTAACAACCATGCAAAAAGCTACCACCTTTTAGAAATGTCGAGAAAATATTTAAAACGTGGCATATGTAAATATGAACCAACAGTAAGAGGCTCCACCTAGTTCTTGCCTAAATTGCTATCAATAGAATTCTATTCTTAAAATTACAAATACTTCAGATTTCACTATATGGCATAGAGACCAAGAAGAAATAATAAAAGAATATTATTCATTCGGTGATACATCTGCTCTGCACAGTAATAGCTTTTTAAAAACTGATAATGGCAGCACATCTCCATCTAGAACAAAATATGATCCCTATAAAGAAGAAAGTAATTTAGATTAAATACAGTAGAAGCTATTTTCCTCTCCTCTCAGCTGAAGTTATCTAAGGTTGAGCAATAGAATGAATACTGCAATCCACTTACATGGCTCACACTCCATTCTAAATGAGAGCTCTTTTTGATGCTTCAGTTTCAGATAGCACAATTTGCCAAGCTTAATTTAATATGCTATTTCAGGAACTTATTAAAAATACAAATTGTTTTGACAGCAATTGTTGCAAATTTGTCTTGATTTAGCAAAACATGAGAAATCTGCCGTGCTTTCAGAACCCCCAAGAAGCTTTATATAACAAAACCTAAAGTGAATTAATGTACTTTTGTTAGTTCTGTTAGTTAAACTGTCATTTAGACTTAAATGCAAAGAACTTTTAGATTTTAAAAAATCAAGCAGATGATAATAATCTGCTACATATGGAAACAAGATTAGTGTTGGAGTCAGTTCTGCTTTAAGCCAAATAACTGCACGAAGAAAACCAGTACACAGATTCAACTACAATAAATTACAGCTTGAATTTTGCAAAACATCTTAATAGATAAACCCATTTTGAATATATAAGTATTAGCATCAGCTAATGGGGCAGGTAATGGGGCACTTTCTACACTTCAAACCTTTGAAATTTCTACTGATGGACTAGGAGAGCTCCCTGATTTTAGCAGCAATATAAATTTCACATCCAATATCATTACATTAAGAATATATATTTAACAAGAACAAAGTAAGAAGTAAAATCTTGGTAGCCCCAGCTAGTACTTTCCATAGTAATCACAATGGCTAAACTACTGTAGATTGCCTTTCTATGGGCTTATAATGTTACTATATTCAACTTATTCATGCCTTTTTATTATTTGCAGGATGGAATAAAAAATCCTGGTTACAGCAGCCAGGAATAATAAGGCTTCCTAAGTATGCCTCTAATTCAATTGTACTTTCATATGAATTTAATTCAGTGTCCTATGGACAGCCAGTCTGTGCTAGAAATAGAATTACCAAATTCTAGAGTTTTTTCTGATTGTTAGTTATTTTGAAACCCATGAGTACCAAAAAAGTTCAGTTTTCTGTAATGACTTCCATCCAGATACATCTTAATTTTGCTTATTCCCACAAGTTCCTTTCCAACACGTACTTCCTGTCCACAGGTACACTCTAGAAAACTGAGAAAAATATTTAAAAAATAAGATGCTAATAAGTCAAAATTCGATGAGAAAAACATTTAGGACATGAGTAAAACTGAACACCAAGAGGGGAAACAACCTCTCCAACTCTTTAAAAATGCTAGGAGATATTACAAAATAGCACAAGCATGAAGAAGATGGGGCAACACATCACTAACCATAGTTACATGTCAGGCTATTTTAAGCAGATGCCTGCAATAATTGGTGCAAATATATAAACACAGGAATTAAAGGCTGGTTTCAACATCATCCCTTGAATGGGGACATTATGTCAATAACTGCAAAAGAAGGAATGTTGACCATAAGTACTAAATTAGAAATAAATGTACATTGGCCGAGCAAGAAACTACAGAGTTACACAGCAAAATGTAAAACACATCAGACCTATATAACAAACAAGTAA